AGGCCAAGGACCCCCAAACTGATGGTAAGATGGAGCGGGGACCCCCTAATTATATATATTGTATGAAATAGTGTTCTATCAAACTGGTCCTATATTCACTCTATTACAGGTGGAGTAATGTAACGAAAGTATTTTTGCCCTGGGATTATTAAAGTATATCTGATTCTGATTCTGATTCCTCATTGATGGGACAGGTGTTTTGAGTGAAATGGTGCCCAGCTTGAAAGAGCTCCTGTGTGTCACTGAATGTGTGCATTAATGACTGAAAAAAATCTTCTGCCTCCATTTATATCTTTACTAAAGTGTGTTGAATTCATGTTAATGTGGATTTAAAGACATTTCAATTAGTGGAAAAAAATGCAGGGGGGATATAATAAAAAAGACTAATCAAACAAAATTTTCACGACCCCCATGAAGTACCTCCCTGGACCCCTAGGGATCCCGTACCCCCTGTTGAAGACCTCTGGTTTAAATTAAATACATTGAGCAAATGGTTGAAGCTCATCCTTTGGATATTTAAAAGGTTTTTAACTACTTGCATGTGACTATAAAGAAAAATAAAGAAAAGGAAGCCTAGTAGGTCTTATCTTCATGTGAGAAGTCTGATGAAAGAAGATAGCCAGTAATCCTTAAACCTAGAGGAAAACACCTGCTACCAGCATAGTAATTAAACCAAAACCTGAGGAAAATCTCCAGCTAAGAATCACCTGCTACCACCTACCACCTCAAACTCTTACAATAATTTAGAAATGTTTGATTTGCCTTCAATTCTGCAAGTTACACTTGATGAGAAAACTTCAGCTTAGATTAAAACGTTTTCTTTACGTTAACTGTATAAATATGATGAGCGATCCAATAAATAGTAGGATCCTCGAAGGAAAATGTGATCTAAATCTTTTTTTTTTTTTTCTAAAGAATAAATCAGTCTCTTACCTACAGTACATCATAATCAGAGTTTATTTAATGCCCTACCTTGGCCAGAAACCCTCCTGAGCTCAGCAGAGAAGAGGAATAAATCTAGATTGGTTTACTGCAGGTGGCTCCACTCAACTACTGCTTCACACCCAGCTGCTCTCCTCTTGTTACTCTAACACCCTATAATACTACCTCCGTTTTTTCCCTTTACCTCCCTCTTTCTATGCCCTTAAACATGCAAGATGCTTTGCACTACTTATATTTTCTCCTTCCTCGCTCTTACTTTTACTGCTCCATTGATTCACAGCCCTCTGCTGGGAGCAAAGTTTACAATTCCTCCAGGTAAGTCACTGTAAATAGATTGTATTTTATGATTTCCTTCCCTCTGCACCTGTGAATCAATGCATCTGACATTCCAGCCATAATGAAAAACATCTCTAGCGAAAATTTAGAGATATCCAGAGAAATACTCACATAGGCCTATACACTAAAGGTCTTTTTAAAACTTTATCTGCTGAATGTTTACGTTGAATATATCATGAATTATTCTGAATTAAACCCTTACTTAAAAGTGATTAAAATAAAAAGTTCAAAATTAGTTTAAATATATGGCACTTCTTTAATATTTTAAGCTTGAAGTTTACTTTCTGGTCAGATTTTACAGGAAAAAAAATCAGATCTAAATCCAGGGCATTGGCATCAAAGAAATCCTATTATGGTGCAAAAGAGTTGAGACTAAGGTTCACCTTCCAGGGTGAAAGACATGTTAAGGATACAACCAGAGAAACAGTTGAATTGTTCAGGTCAGGTGTTAAACTTCAGTTGTTTTGAAACTCTAGTTGAAGTCCAACACACATGAGTCACATTAACAGGTCTTATTAGGTAAGACTCAGTAGAGCATACATGTAGGCGAAGCTATTCACCCATTAAAGGTGTTTGGGAGTTGGGACACATCTAAAAGTTGCAGAAAACTGGCCCTCATATATTGGAGTTCAAAACCTCTGATTTAGACCAAGGTATATTATTAATTAGAATGGTTTCAGGTTTTTAATCATTTGTGCTTTTTAAAGACATTTCTGAAATCTCAATCGTAACATGTCCAAAGCTGATAGAACATATCCCAAATAAGCCGTTTCCCTTTTCCTTCTAATTCCTAGTTATCATACTTATCATCGAAATACATATTAAAGGGAATATAATGATGCAAATGAACAGGTCGTGACTGAAACACAGAGGAGACATAAAAAATAGGGAGGCAGACATGAAGAACAAAAATGAAAATATGAAAACTGCTTGAAACTGACAGAACAAACATGGAGATGATTACAAGAATCAGGTGAGTCCAGCGAAACTGAATCGAATGGACATGAATAAGGGTGCAACAACTTTGACGTAAAAATATCATTGAATCCGAGCAGCAAACAATGACAAACCAAAAGTAATAATCCAGGAATAACAGTGCTGCTAGGTGTTGATCTGTTAATACTTCCCATTAAAATGCATTAGTGTTTGTGGCAGTAACGTAACAAACTGTCTAAAGGTTGTCGATACTTTGGCAGAGCACTGCATGTTTGTGGCAGGGAGTTTAAATGGAGTAAAGCTCATTAGACGAACAAATGAAATGGATGATTTGTTTTATTGATGGCACACAAAGCACTATGACCCAGCCTGATGTAAGAATTAATTATTACAAACTGAACCCACAAGTAGGTTAAGACCTGATCATGCAAGCTTTCCTTCAGTTTGTGCACCTGCAAATAACTGCTATAGCAACTACTGAAATACAAAAACAACTCAAAACACATGAATCATTCACTTTGCAATTCACCGGTATACTTGTGGAGTTGTCTGCTCCCAGTCCACTTTAGACTTTTAAAATTGCCCTAAGTTGGGTGGGTGATATCATATCAATTATATTAATAACATAAATCATACCCGCGTTCTACCTGTGGGCAATTTGAGCACTTCTAACACTGTGTATGGTGGTGATCCTGTTTCATCATCCAGCATATTTCAGCAGAGACACTATAGAGGCAGACAGCTGGTCTTGAGTGGCCAATTATGTCCGTTTATCTCCCTTCCAGGCGCAGCTGTGATCAAACAGAATGAAGAAACAGGATCAAACAGCAAGGCTAAAAATCCCTCTTCCGTTTGGATCGCTTCTTTTCCTCAGCTTCACTCTGTCTCTGTTACTCTCTTCATTTCCTTACCTCCATCTCCTTCTGCCTCCTGCAATGTATTCATATATATATATTTTTATAAAGAGGCACTTCTACATCCTTCCGTGTCTTCCTCGCTCATCTCTCGGAAGACAGCAAAGGAGAGGCTTTTTTAAAGGTTTAGTGCTGAGGAAGCTTAATCCTG